TTATTTTCGCAAAACATGTTTGGCTATCATAATCTGCACTACTTAACATGACATTTCACATTAAAAAGCTTAAACCTATGCGTTTGTTGTGCAAAAGACATAGGAAGTCCATACTCAGATAAAGAACCTCTTATTTCTTCTTCAAATATGATCTTTGAATGCAATTGCTTTCTGCAAGGTAGTGCAGCGGCCTTAATTTTTCTGCAAGGTAGTGCAACAAAAATGAATTGTCAGTAAAACGGCTTGGGTTGGCAGGCCCATTTACAGTAAAAAAGAAGGGCTTGGGGCTGGCAGGCCCATCTACAGTAAAAGGCCAATAAATGGCTAATAAATAGGGTTTTTAATTTATTCTAATGAATACATATCAATAAATAGATTGTACAATAATGAAAATGCTATCTAGTGAGCGTAAGTAGGCCGTTGTCCAGGCCCAATAGTCGTCGGACCGGAGGGTCCGGGTCCATATACTCTATCATTAAGTAAATCAATATATTCAAACTTGGATCCGCCGGGCAGTTCTAGGATCAGATCTATGACTTGTTCCAAAGCATAACTTAACTTCATTTTCTGCAATCACTTATAGATCAAAAGTAACATTAGTTGTTTGTCATCAACAAAACATTATGTTCCAAGAACCAGTCACCGAATCGAGTAGCCCATGATTTGGCTAAGGCCGTAGGTTTTATGTCTGGTCAGTGTGTTTGGCATAATTTTCTTCCTGATCGTATTGTTTCATCATATCTTTGAACCATGATTTCATTAATCTAAGCTGATTTGATTATTGTCAAAAAAGCTCCGTATCTATATGTAATACGTTGTACAAATTAACTGCATTTCCACTTTTGTAAAATCCCGTAACAAAAAACCTTAAAATTTTTAATAATCGTGTCTCACAACACAAAAAAACACAATGAAATATATACGAGTACATTGGAAGAAAACTACAAAAACGCTTACTAATTACAACCCCCTTAATATAATTTTGCAGTTTTGATATTCCATAAAAATTTTCAAATTTTGTTTTTTAAGAAATTTAGTATGACTAACATTCATATATGTAGTACTAGTATATTTTTCGTAATCAACCACTAGTAAACATTTCTACTTAATCTGATTTACAACATCTTCCGAACTAGATGTACAAAGCTGAAGTTACGGACGTGTCAAAGCTACGTGTAGCTATTAATATCTTTGCATGAGAACGTCGCGCCACGTTTTACACAAATGTTGCTATTCCAAAGTAATGCACCACGTAGTGTTGCTGCCCGGATGAAGTAAATTTCCAATAAAGACTTGTTATATCGATCGAGAATTATTCTACAGCTCATAGAAAACGATGCTGCTATCACGGAGTATAAAACACAATACTTTTAATCACGGATGGATTTAAGGGGGGCGCGGGGGGCGACCGCCCCCTTGAACTTTCAAAATTTTCTAATATATGTAATGTTTTTGTAAAATTTTGATATTTTAATTAGATTCGCCCTCCTTAACTTTTTGTTGAACATTGCCCCCCTTAACTTTTAGTTTTTAAAATTAATATATAGTCTTACATAATGTAATACTTAATTGAAGATATAAAAAAGGATCATCTAAAATAATTTACATAACTTAAATAAACAATAGAAGAACTCATTATTTGAGATTTAGGATACTTATTATATAAAAATTCTTAGTTTTGTAATGTTTAATTATCTTTATTCGATAACTAGTAAACAATTTTGAAAAAAATATATCAAACGATATTAAATACCAGACACTCTAGCTACAAAGTTTTTAGATAATGTGAAGTGTAATCCAAATTATAAATGTTTATTGACATTGAATTACATTATTCATTTACTTCTTACGTTCTAAAAAAGACTTTATTGCATAGATAATAAACTTTAATTATTTTAGCATTAATACAAATATAATATGCACTATATATATGAATTAGCAATATAATATTATTCTAAAAATAATAATATCATAAATACTATTGTAATATTAAAAGAACTGCTTGTGACTTATGAACACGCATGTAGTTAAACAATGTTGAAGTTATTTTAAAAGTAGTGGTGAATGTGTGCCTTATAAACTCTTTATATTTAAATAAAATGTTATATATCCTTTTTTTATTTTTTTATCATTTTCCATTGATTTGTCATTTCTTATGCTTTAATGTATCAATACTTTTTTCTAGAGCACTCCAATTATAAAATTTTAGTTATTTTGTCATTGTCTAAACTTAGAATGTAATATATAGATTTAAATGGCGTCATGTATGTATTAATGAAATTTTTTTGAATAAAAATAGCCGCAAGGTCTTACACTAGTGAAAAATTTCGCCCGCTACACCAGAAAAAAAATTGCCCCGCTACACTAGTGAATTTTTTTCTCCTACACTAATGAAAATTTTCGTCCCGCTTGACTCGAAATCCTGGATCCGTCCCTGCTTTTAATGGTTGAATTTGTCACAATAATTCATATGTAGTATACTGGTATTACATTTACGACTCATCCTTCAGATTTTTACTTTTAGTTTTATAACCATCTCAAAATTAAAAAAAACGCTACAAAATAAATTACAGGATTGCACGAATTGACCAATGATTTCGTGTCGTCTTCTCGATTAATTTGGAGAATCACTACTGTAAGGTGTTTGCCTGTACATATCGTTGAACGACAGAAAAGCACATTTTGTTTGGGTTGTTATTACATACTCCGTATAGTATAATTTTTCCGGATCCTAGCCAACGCATGTGCGTAGTATATAAATCAAACAATGATCTTTACCTATTCTAATTAATTTCTGATTGATTGAACAAAAAAAAGGAAAGAGATCATCATCATCAGTAAATGGAGGGCACGGAAGGGGGCCGGAAAGAGGTGGAAAGAAAGAAGGGAGACGGAGATGATGCAGCGGCGGAAGAGGGAAGATCCACAGGGATGGATCCAATCGCCAGAGCTGTAATTAGCGAATCAATCGTATCATCTGATCCACCTGCGAATAATGAAAGCCCCCATCGCGCGGAAATGGCCGATGATGTCCTGGCTTTCTCCAGAACTCTTCATAAAATCGACTCTTCTCTCGAATAACTAACTACATCCACTACACTTGATAATTATGCGAACTGTGCCATATGTTATTGTGTACTTGTTCTTGATATGATGGAGGATCTCAAGATATATGCATTCTACTCTTATCTTTATTTTAAATAATAATGTATATGAGTACATCTTGCTTACTCTCTTTTCTCCTCAATTAGGATTCCGTAATAACATTTCAATGGAATGAGATTTTAATGCAATTCAATAGATTTAAATACAATATGTGACATTCTAATCAAATTTCATGGAATCGGAAATCCTCCCTCCCACACCTAGATTTCTCCGGTCACCACGAAGCCTGGATTTATCGTTCTTATTTGGAGATAAGGCTCAAATTGGACACTATGGTTTCACGAGAATCTCATAAGAAGTCCACATAAATCCCCTGCTTCCGATTCCAGGACGTAGCCGGCGAGTTTCAGGTGAGTCTCAAGGGAAATCCGTTGAAATCCGATTGGGATGGTATTCTTTTGTTTACATTTTAGCTTTGAAATCCACATAAATCTTTAGCAATTCAAGGGTAAAAAATCCATAACATTTTGAATTCTAAAAATCTTTTAAAATCCTATAGTAATAATTAGACACCCCCTTTTAACAACGATCCATAGTCAAATGAATTTAATTTAATTAAGAGTAAATTCTCTAAATAGGAGTAAAAAAGTTTTGAAATTCCAAAATAGGAGTATCATGTTTTTTATTTCCTAAATAGGAGTAAATTTCTGTCAAGATTGGCATTACTAGGCTTTTAAACATGGCATTTTTTTCAAACTTGGCAGATTATTCCTATTCAATGAATAAAAAATATGATACTCCTATTTTGGAATTTCAAAACGTTTTTACTCCTATTTAGGGCAATTTCTATTTAATTAACCAAGCATTCCAGCTCGCTGGATGGGAGGTTATCGTGCCTAGTGGAGTCTGCTGTATTCGTCCTTTGGAGCTAGTACTGACAGGGCTGACTGTGATCAAATCTGGATTTAACTGTCTAGGGGCTTTTGAGGGTAGTTCATAGATTCCAGGATTAGGGGAGCGCAAGCACCGACACCTGGATCATAAAAAAATGAATTTAATTTAATTTGTGCTCCATTGATGAATCCGTTCAACCATCATATTATAGAGATATTTTTCTATAGGTACCCCACTTATACCCCAAATTGTACCCCATATAAATACCTTCCCAAAAATTTACCCACACTCTCTCATCTCGCTTTCTCCCTCATCTCCCTTTCCAAATCTCCCTCTTTTCCAGCCTTCCCCTTTCCCGGGAAGTTTTGAAAAATCAAACTCCTCACCAACCTCACCCCCTCACGTTGCAGACCTTCCCAACCCTGTCATCTCCGGCCACCGGCCTCACTCCTCGCATCGCAAACCAGCCCAATATCAAAACCGACATCAAGCTCACTTTGTTCTCGTTTCAACCACCCATCCGTCATGTGAGGCGCTGTTTCGTCATCACTCCCACAAACCAACGGTTGTGTCCCCACAAGCAACAAGGTTGATGACGAAGGTGACAGTGGTGACATAGGTAATATCCCATCCGGGTAAGAAGAGGAAGAAGGTCTTATCATTGAGGTCATGAAAGACTTTAGATGCTCTTTTTCCTCATTTTTTGGTATTTTTTTCGTCCAACTCCACTTGAAAAAAGGTTGTATGTCTAACAGACAAATTTGAAGTGCAGCGTTTGTCTAGCTAAGCATGGTTTCATAATTGGTAGAGTCTTACATAAGATGTCTGTCTGATACAGACAAATTTATTTGTTTGAGTACATAGAACAATTGTATGTATGCACATCTTCTTAATTTACAAATGTATTTTATAGTACGTGTGATGACTTTTGTGATATCTGTAATACTTGAGATTTAATTTAAACGGATTATTTGTACTACTCATACCAACAAGGTGCATCTCCTTTTAAGGGAGCTCATCAGCTAAGAACTCCAAAGTTAAGTGTGCTTGCACAGGAGTAGTCTTGGGATGGGTGACCCCCTGGGAAGTTTCTCAGGGCGTGCACGAGTGAGGACAAAGTGTGCAAAAAAGACTAGTGGCGGTTTGTGAGGACAGTCTCTCTTCGGATGTTGAAAATTGATTTGTAGTTGTCTGTGAAGTGAAAAGAGTTGTCTGGCATTTGATTTGTCTGTAATGTGAAATGAACTCTTTAAAATTGATTTGTCTATAATGTGAAATGAACTCTTTAAAATTGATTTGTAGTTGTCTGTATGTGAAAAGCGTTGTCTGACATTCCATTTGGGTTGTCTGAATGGTGAAATTGTGAAGTAGTTGTGTATATTTATACTCCTCTGTGATGAAATTGAGATGTCTGTCATGGTATTTTGAATATTATGTAATTGGTTTGGAGTTGTCTGTCAATTTATTTTGAATTGTTTAAAATTGGTTTATAGTTGTCTGTCGTGTGAAAGTAGTTGTCTGGAAAGGCATATTAGTTGTCTCACACGTTAAATCCAATTGTTTAAAATTGGTTTGTAGTTGTTTGTCATGTGAAAGTAGTTGTGTGGCAAGACATTTGAATTGTCTGTCAATTTGTTTTAAATTGTTGAAAATAATTTTGTAGTTGTCTGTCAGGTAAAATTAGTTGCCTGGCAACCCATTTGAATTGTCTTGCACGTCATTTGGAATTCTTTAAAATTGGGTTGTAGTTTTCTGTCATGGGAATTGACTTCTCTACCAATGTGTTGCAACAAATTGTCTGTAATGTGATATAAAATGTCTGGTCTTCCTTCTGAGTTGGAAGAACATATATGTGTGTGAGGCAAAGACAAGATGTCTGCCTAAGATGTCTGCCATACAAATTTTAGTATTATGTCTATTCCACATAATACAATCCAACGGTCCAGATTCATTCTTATTTCTCTTCTGGGAGTCCGCCGTTCTTACCGGAATAGCTCCCTGTGTGTGTATAGAGCCAGCTATAGGGCCTAGGAAAATAGGCATATGCCTAGGGCACCCATAGCATGTGGGGTACCATCTTAAAAAATTACTAAGTATTTAATTGTTTTAAATTATATGACAATATATTCTTGTAAAATAAATTTTAAACATATACATAACAAAAATATTGAATATGTATTCTTTACAAAAATTATTCTTTATAAAAATATATTTAATAAAATAAATTTGGCTTTAAGTTGTCTCTTTAGTTCTTATTAAGAATTTAAGAGAAAACTTGATAGGTTGGTAAAAATAAAACATTGTTTCTCCACATCACACAAAATTGATAGGTCAGTAAAAACAATTGTTCGACCTTCGGGTTCTCGGACTGGATTTTGCTATCCATGGGGCCTTATTTGGCTTGGTAGGCAGCACCTTACGAGAGGTTTTTGACTCGTTAATGGACTGGCCTTTCATGGACAAGTAATCTTGATTACTTGAAGTTTTGATGGTGGGACTTGTCCCACCTTTTGGACTTTTCCATAAAACTCTCTCCCAATCTTATCCTTCACGGGTGGGGTTGGGGGGGAAGGGGGGCGAATAGTTTGATGACTATTTTAGTTAGATTACTAGCTTTTATAGTTTTGATGCATTGTAATAATGTTATTTTGGGTGCTTTTTAATATGTTTACCTTTCATTCAAAAATTGAGGTAAATGATTACAATGAGAACACAAATATTGATGTAAATAATGACAATGAAAAAAGAAATATGAGTGTAGATGACACTAATAATTAAATATCAAAATATATAGATTATAAAAATGAGAAAGACAACGATTCAATTGAAAATGGATTTAGAGTTTCTTCAAATTAAAGAAATTATGACTCAAGAAATTGGACTCTAATACACTATGTATGACTAGGAAAATATTTTTCTTAATTAGTTTTCGCCTTGGGCATCAAAGTCCCTAAAGACGACCATGTATGTGTGTGTGTATACATACATATATGTATATATATATATATATATATGTATATATATATATATATGTATATATGTATATATATATATATGTATATATGTATATATATATATGTATATATATATGTATATATATATATGTATATATATATATATGTATATATGTATATATATATATATATGTATATATATATATGTATATATATATACATATATATATATACACACACACATATATACACACACACACACAATATATATATATATATATATATATATATATATATATATATATATATATATATATATATATATATATATATATATATATAGAATAAGGATCAAATAAGAAGAGTGTTTATCGTAAGAAGTGAGAATGCATCTGGTGCGTTCAACTTAAGATCTGTGCATAAGATTAGCAAAAAAGTGCACAGGAAAGTGCAAAAAATATTAAAAAAGTGATGCTAGACGCGGTAATATTTCCATAATTAATCGGAACTTTTCTGCCATCGCAAAAAGTGCATCAGATAAGCAAAAAAGTGCATCAGAAATAGGTAAATGTGCAACTTCTCACTTCTCGCGTTAAGATGTCTTCTCATCAGAACCCGACCCTATATAGAGCGGTTCCGGTAAGAGCGAAATCGCATGAGAGAAATAAGAATGAACTGGACCGTTGGATTATATTATATGGAATTGAAATATGCATGAAAAGTCACTTCAATGATTCAAATCTTTTCCACCCTTAAATTTCTTTAATTCCCCTACCAGTTAAACACAGCCACTGGATCGATACATAAAATTATTGCAATGATTAATAAAGCAACTAAAAAATAACATCAATTGCATGCCCACATATTTGATCTATTACACCACAATTTCCATAACAAAATTTGCACTCCCACATATTTGATCAAGACAATTATAAAAGCACAATTTTCCACCAAAATACAAATTATATTCTTTTATTACCTTTTTATCTCTAAATTGTTTTAGGGTTTAGGCGTATATAGTTTGGTGTTTAGGATTTTAGAGTTTATTTAGTATTTAACATTTATGATTTAGTCGTGGCTGGCAGCTGCCTGGCTGCTGGCGAGCAGTACTGCGGTGGTGCCTTGAATTCCATAATGTATTTTCTTGTATTATATTATAAAAATAATAAAGGTTGTAATGAAGGGTAAACTGTGCACAAATGTTAGATTTAAAAAATCAAACTGATAGGACATTATGAATTTTAGAACTATGCACTCGAATATGATTACTACAATGCTTCTTATTCTGCTCGCCTTTCTTATAACGTGAACACCATTGCCACTGTCAAGAAGCAAAGCCTTTAGCTGAAGGTAACACGCTTCTTTTTATGTCTAGCGAGTTAGCGTTTGAGACATGTAGGTGGATTGCACGTTGTGGACTGCATATAATCAACAAGGTCTATTGCAATCATAACATGATGTCCTCCACATTGACCCACATTGACACCACCATGAACACGTATGAATTACTCCAGTTGAAACTCAAGTCTTTTTTTGAGATTAACAATAAAACTTCTAGATGTTTTGTCCAGCATCTAAACTCAAATTGAGTAGCACGCTTAACCTAAAATAGAATACACAACATTACAAGTAAGTACAAAGTGAATATAGTGTTGAAATAACAGAATAAAGTGTCATTTAGAACATACATTTTTGTATATGCATTTTCATTTCGGTGTTTGATGATATCTACAACTATGGCTATTGTAGCTTCATGATGGGAGGGGGAGCTTCTGTAACATGAAGAGAGCATGTATAATCAAAATCAAATTTGGAAAACAATAGACAATACATATACAGTAAGTAGCCAATAAATACGCAATAAATTCGAATCATAGTATAATAATAACAGACCGGGTAAAATAAAACACAATATCTACCATTCATTATCTCCAATGATGAAATTATCGCAAGAGGCTGTCAAGAAACTTCAGAATGAGAAGCCACAGGCCATTGCCGATCAAAAGGTCAATTGGGAGAACAATGAATGTCACAACCCTTAGCTAGGGCGTGCAGATTAATAGTGAACTCCCATCGTGGAGTTGTCAGCGGTGATCTATGGTGCTCCTGGAAAGTTGGAAGACTTTCTATTTGGTTTCCAAAAATTCAGAGTATCGTTGGAGCGTAGACTCCGGAGTCAAGATCCGCCGGAATTTAGCCGATGTATCCGGCCAAAACCAGCTCGGTGAGACCATGTTGATTTCATATGGACGTAGTTCTTCGAATTCATACGCGGCTGTCGAATGTGGAAGACTGTAAAGCTCCATGAGAATGCTGAAGAAGGAAGGAGAGCTGGAGCGTGAAAGTTGTGATCATCAGCGACGTAAGGTATTTAGTTTTAATAAGTGAAGGGTAAAATTGGAAATTTAAAATCCAGTTTCCCAAAATAGAATTAGATAGGTCATACGTAGGGGAGAAACTTAAGTAGGTACTATTTTTATAAAACAAGAAATTGTCCTAAATTGGACTAAAACATGGCTAAAACTCCAAAATGGGACTTCAAGTTTTAAATTTCCTAAATGGGACTCCAGATTACCTTTTGGCCCCTAATCCCTAAATCACCTTTTCCCCAAAGCCCTCTACATCGATCGCCAGACCTACAACTCTCCTTGCGATTCAACTGCCATGGACGCAGCTCAACCTCCATCGATCGCAAGTTCGCAACTCGACGCGGCCTATCATCGCATCTGCCTGCTCGGCGCCGGACGCCATCTCCAGCAAAATCAGGTATTCTTCTCCTTCTCGTTCTTCTTCTTCTTCTTCTTCTTCTTCGTCTTCTTCTTCTTCTTCTTCTTTTTTCTTCTTCTCCTCCATCTCCTTTTCCTTCTTGTTCTTCTTCTTCTTGCTCTTCTTCTTCTCCTTATGTAAATGTATCTTTCTATTCCAAAATGCCAACATTATTTTAACATCACAGTACACAAGATGTCATTTTTTAAAAATTGACATGTTTATTTTTTATATGATATTTAAGGATAGAAACATGACATTCGCAATTGGCATTTTCAAATATTGTAATAACATAAAATTGACATTTTGTAAAAATACCCAATAATTATGACATTCTCTTATTCAAAAAGTGACATTTTCTGGAATCATTAGTCGGGGCATTTTGAGATTCAAAGTAATCAAAATTGACAACAGGAAATTCAAGAAGAAGAAGAAGAAGAATTCATAAAATAGGAATTATGGTCCTATTTTGTAATTTTGCTGGAGGGAGAGGTCCCGCACTAACGATTGACGGTGGTTAGTGTCTCGCTGGAGGGCGGCAGCTGGAGGGCGGCGACCGGAGGTTGTGATCTTATTGGACGGTGGCGATGGTTCTATTGCTGGATGGTGGCAGCACCATTAGAAGCAACATGCAATAGGGAAGCGATGGAGGCGGATGTGCATCGCTGATGTGCATTAGTAGCGCTACAGAACAGTAAGTTTTTT